GGTTGCATTCGGTAATAGCGAGAGTAATGGATGGGAACGGGATGATGATAAGATGACGCATCACAGGATCGATCCTGGGGCCTTCGGGAATGAAGTTTTGACTCCTTTGTTCGCGCGAGATTTTCTTCTGCCGAGTATAAACAACTACAAGCTGAATGTTGAGTACGAGATCAAGAAGACAGTCAGTAGTTGGGGAGGTAATGACTTCCTCGCTAACTTGACCTATCTCAACTGAGTTCCCTCTATGCAGTGTTCTTTTGTGTTTTTCTATGTATCAAAGATAATCTGCACCAGGATTCGAACTCGGGACCTCTGGATATTCTCAGTTCTCTACTCTATGATCACACGAGATGACTCGAAGATTCTAGCTCAATGCGCATCAGGAAGAGTACTCCTGATAGTGATGGTCACTGAATTGGATCTCGTTTACCTCGATTAACTACGACGTAGTTTCTACGTTGCTCGCTATGAAATTCCGCCAATTCGGTCAGACCGAAATCTGAAAATTTTGTGATAAAGAACTTACGAATGATGGAATATATGACAATGATAAAGAAGGCTATGAAATATTCTCTTTGACCCCATCTCTCAGGTAGGAGTTACTTGTCCATTCTGTGTGTATATGTGAATGAGGAACGTTAAGGTAGCGCCTCTGTTGTACTTGACGCCTCCATGATGAGCAAGGAAAGTTGCTCTCGTGGAGGTGTCCTCAACTTGCGATTATCCATGATTATGGATGACCAATATAATTTATCATTGGATTCTACCCATTCATTTCGGCCACTGAATGGTCACCACTCACACTATCACTTGTGCGTTATTGGTAGCGATTGCACACTGATCAAGTACGAGTTGGATGGAATACGTGACGTTAAGTGGTCGTGAGGAGGCGACTGCAGTATTATTTGTGCTTCCATCCGGTGTAATACAATCCGGCAATCGCAACTTTTTGCTGATATTGCGGATTTGACAAGTGCTATAATTTCTGACAGTCTCACTTTTTTGCCCTTTTGCATGTGCTGCTTTCTCAGTTACAAAGTAGCAACCCCATTTACACCTTAGCAATTTCTGGTATAGGTTTTAGCAACCAAATGTTGAAAGTAGCAAATTCAAAAGTGTTTTTCAGCAAGTCGCTCTCCTTTGCTCCTTTTTTGCTGCATTGTATATTCCCCCGGGGTGTTTTACACGCTGGAACTTTTGCCCAAGTGTGCTTCGCCCGCACGTGTTCGTTATTCTGGCAAGTTGTGCTCATTTGCTGTTAAATATGTTTCGCGTTGTAATTATGTAGTCTGGCACCTTTTAAGGTTCGCTCTTGTGTGATGTTCCTGCATGAAATATACAAATTGGCAGTTGCCGGTATGTGACAACGCTGCGCTACTTTTATGTTTCGGCTATTTGCTTTCTTGTAACTCACGCCCTGCGGGAATATATACTAGCGTTTTGCTCACTCGCTCAAACTGCGTCTCTGTTAGCGTTATTAGCAAACTTGCCCTTTTGCATTATTCGTACGAGTAATATACAATCGAGCAAACATAGTTATGGGATAGCATTTCTCGTTCGATTCGATTGTCTTATATCCATTCTGGTGCATGTTCATGCCCTGTGCACTTACTAAGTATCTATCAGAGGTGTCACACCTCGTGTCTCACTTAGTACCGGATCAAAGCGTGATAGCACTCTAGTGAGATATATCATTCACTCCGAAGACAGCGCGAGTTATGATCAATGCTGAATACCAAAAACATGATTGCTCTCGCATGTCGCGATTGAATCAGATGAGATAACAGTTAAATTGAGTCCCATCTTCGAGTATCCACTCTCTTTTTGCATCGTATCAGTTGTGTCTCATGGTTCACTACGATCGTACGTATTGACGACTCAACAATACTCAGAAGTTAAATCCTCAAGTAGGCATTAGTTAAGTATTACGGGCAACTTTGACATTCTACACGAGAAACGTTCACTCATGGACAGTGTCACTCATCAGAGTGCTTTCGTGGAGCTATTATTATGGACTGTGCAGAGGTGTCGAAGAATTGTACAGGGGTAACGCAACACGGACAGAATTACTAAATATGAACTCTACAGCCCTCCGCACACAATATTCACTCCCGGGCACCACTAAAGGGCCTTCATAGAGATACTGTCAAGGGTTGCATGAGAAGCATATTGAGAAGCGTCCAAATTTTTCTCTACCAATCACCGAGACAGCTACTATACCGTAGCAGCTACAACAGCTGGGCACCACTGAGGTGCCTACCTTACTGCGAGTGCGTACATGGTCGCTAGTCTCCAGTGATGGGAGAAACTACTTCGATTCCTCACGCTCGTCCTCTTTCGACCGCTTCTGCTGCAATTCTTTTGCCGCGTGGCTCTCATACTCCTCCACCAATAAAATAGCATTGTTGTTAGACGAGTACTTTCGCACTATCTCCTCACATCTGGTACCTCGGAAGAACTTGTTCGGCGCCGGGTAGATGCGGAGTGCTAACTTAGCACCGCTAAGCCAGCCTGCCTCTTTCCTCGATAATTTCGATGTTCGCGAGGGGCATCTTTCTGCAATGACCAGTATTTGCTCAGACCACCGAAGAGCATAATAGGCCACGTAAGGATCAGGATGCGAGTATGAAAGCCACGATCAACACAATCACCAACAACCCACCAAGGTTCGACTCTCGCGTGCGAAATTTCAATTTCTTCTTCCGATTGTAGAACAGCAAAAATTTGCTCCATTGCGGGGTTGCCCATTCGTAAAGGGGCAAATTGCTCCTCTGAAAAGTAGCAATTTGCTCACTAGTAGAAGGAGCAATTTATTGGTTTGCCACTTTTTTGAGCAAAACTGCTCAATTTTGTTACATAGTAGCACTTCACATAGCGGCAACTTTTATACATTGTAGCAACTTTCTGAAATATAAACAAGCAAACGATATTCATTCAAGCAGTTTCTGTTATACAATACGGCAAATTTGCGTATTTGTAAAGTGCATTTTGCTACTTTGCTCTTCTGTATATCAGCCATAGCGTTTTTACACACTAGCACAACAGCAAAAGCCGCAGGGAATATACATTCCAGCTAATTGGCACTTTTTTGCTATTTGCTCCTTTGCTATTTTGTAACTGAGCCCTTCCATCAAGCGCAGAGGGGTGGGGGCTACTTGCCGGGGAACTATTACACGCTGTTGCACTCAGTGGCATGCTACAAGTGCATTGAATGTGGAGTTAGTTGGGCCGACGGAGATAGACAGTCCCGTTTCTTCAGTGGTACTCTCTCGAGCGGCGGGTTCGAATCTCAATGCCCTGTCTCCTAGTCAGGTCCTCTCATGGAGTGTTGGTTCAATGGCCCTGCTATAGCGTTTTGGCGTATTGGCTCTACTAAAGGCTCGTCGTTATGATTCGACTCGAGTCTCAACTTGAGACTCGAGTCGAGTCCCTCGACCTCGTCGAGTACTCCCGAAATGAATGAAGCACTTCCAGGAGCTCAGTCTACGCTTGCTCTGTGACAACTTCGCAACACAAAACGTTGTGATGGAAAAAATGTAAACAACATCATGCAAATCATATATAAAATATTACAGAATAGTCTTAATTATAATCATCGATAGCACCATCAGGGTTGGATCACCCGTGATGCTACTTGAACACGCCCTGAAAAGATATACGTTGTTCATGGTCACCCGGCCTACGATCCTACTCTTGGATTCCCCCTCGAAGTTGGCCTATGGCCTGGACGTCCTTGGTGGAGCTGGTAGTGGTGGTGGTGGTAGTGGTGGTGGTGATAGTGGTGGACGTGGTGGTGGTGGTGGTAGTGGTAGTGGTGGTGGTGGTGGTGGTGGAGTAGGGGTTTGGACCCTCTCCCATAGCGTCCTCCAAATCCAGCTGCTGCTGGATAATATTTTTCATCACCTCCCACCAGGACCTGTTATTTGAGGCGCTGGCTTGGAGCTCGTTAGCAGCAGACGTGATGTCGGTAGGGGTGGGGAGGGCATTATACCCTCCCACGGTGGCCACGATGGCCATAATATGAACAACCAGGATTGAAGTCATCGTTAGGAGTAATCAGATAACTCTGAGAATGAAGATAACTG